CATTTATAACTTGCGTCATCTGTCACAGGCACTTGTCACTTTCGTGCTAGTTGCAGTTAAACATCCCTCTCAAAACGTCAAATGTGACAAACGTCAGACCCTCGCGTAAGGTTGCCAGCTCACTTCTACGTGATTGGTTGTAGGTTTGTGACGTATTTAGTCTGAAGCGTTTCAAATTCGGAATAAAAACACAGCTTTTCCATAATTTATTTTGGGTTTATTTTACTCGCAAATAAAAATTGAGGACACACGGGTCTTTTTATTTTTAATGTACTTTGTGGATCAGAAATAAAAAATGAAGGCGGGATGGCCCCATGCTCCTTAGGTTATTAACTCGTATAAAACTGTTTTGTTTTGCCCATATAAAAACTTGTTATGTATTATTCTCACAAGAAAACGCCAATTTTAAATATCCCATCAAAATCAAAATCGATATGTTACTTGAATTATATCTTGAAATCAATAAATAGGTGCAGATCTTCCTAACTGACAAAACTAATCTACATAAATCTAAATCAATACAAAATTTGAATTAATATTCTAATGATAAATTGAATTATGATTTACCCTAAAGTCTTATGCGCATATAAATACGCTATAAAGGATTGTTCAGAGGAACGTAAACGTAATTCAGTTTATTTAATATACGTCGAATACAAGACGTACCTTATCTCAGTCAAACAGCTAATGTAACTGTGACGTCACAGGAAAATGCAGGTAAACGACAAAGGCAGGATTGTTATCACGAAAGCCTTCTTCCAACCTTACATCTTTTTCACAGCAATCGTCAAATTGATTCTTCATAAAATAATACGTGTTGACAAGGAAAAACGAAAGCTTTTCGTGCAAAAATGGCTGCTTCCTTCGTAAGCACCCCAATTGGGAAGTAAGTAGACTAACCGCAATACCTCTTCTCGCCGGTCTACTGGCGTTGCAAATTGGTTCTATTCGTTGATCAATTGTTGATGTGTGTGGAAAAACACTTTTGAAATAATATTTGGCATCTTTTACACTAAATTTAACAATTGAATACCACGTGCAAAGCTCGCCTTGCCTGCTACACGCGCCTCGTGAATGCGAATGCACGCAGTCGCCTCATGTTCCCCTGCGAAACCTAATTCTTTTTAAATTTAAATTACAAATAGAAAAATATACTTATTCCCTGTAATGTTTGGTTGAAAACCTCCATATACATGGTAATTCAAAAATATATAATTATTTGGGTAACCAGCTCAGTATATGCAGCAGTTTTGGACATGGCGGACTAGCTACATTTTGAAATGTTTACCGGAACTTTGCTCCATAGTAGTTTTCCAAGCAATACAATTCTATTCAAAACCTGTCACTAAAAGTAAGTAAGCAATAAAGTATTCTACCATATTTCAGGAACCTTTATTGTAACGTCAATTGTGATGGTTCTGCAAAAATCTCTGAATTAAATTTAATCTTTTAGCCAGTGTACAGTGTGCTAAATGTCATAAATAATTTGTATCTTTACGCATGAATTAAATTAATTAAATTTCGTCTGCTAAAAACTCATTACCGCAACCGAGCAAGATGCAGTTATACGTTTTACAATTAAATACACAAATCTGAAATAAACAATTTACAATAGCGATCAAATTAAACAAGAAAATATTACGCAATATCAAACAATTCTAAAAGGAGAAATAGATACTGAGACAACAAATTCAAGTACAATAAACTAACGTTGTGCTTATTCTTAAATAATTCCCCGAGTTTACGCTTAATAAATTTGGTGTCCCGTCGTTATTTTGGTGTTTAGACCGAAATAACGTCTGCATGACGTTTTATTTTATTTATTATTTATTTATTATCCCTCTCTTGTTGTGGGCCCTCAACAGGCTTGCGCCCATTTACAGAGTGACCCGCATAATGATTTTCAGAGGTGCCTCTGCAGAAGGTCTTAAGTTGTTCTATACTACTTCGGTATTTACCTTACTAATTAGGAAAACTGCAGGAAAACCTAATTCTGAGTAGCCGCCGTAGCCGGTAGAATGCTCGGAACTGGTCTAAGGCAATTTCCATCTCTGCCACAGATGAAAAATTCACCTCAACCCAGGTTCGAACACCCGACCTCCGGATTTATAGCCCAACGCCCTACCACTGAGCCATAAACCCGACCGTTTATGTGCATCAACTGTCAACGTTTCCTACCGCCAACTGACTCCCAGAGGGTTACCTACAGTTGATCTCGCCCACACAGCCGCAATCACCAAATACAACATACCGATTTATATGTGCAATGCTACCAAGGTTTTGCCCTCAGAACAACCCGAGATTTTTATGTGCACCATTTTCTCTTCCTCTTGAAATACTTTGTTTACAAAAGCCAATACACGCGATTGACACTGTCATCGGACTGACAAAGCAAAATGTCACAAATGGATAGCAATTTGGAAGATTTATTTTCAATTTTGCTTGAAGATCACAGTTTGTATTTAAACACCGAAAAAACCTCGCGAAACCTCGACGCGCGGTCCGCAGCTTGCATAATCCAGAGGACTTGGCGAAAATTCTACGCCAAACGGATCTTTTCGCATTTACGTGCCATGCTCTACAATTTCTCCGTCGAAAATCCCTCGAAGCTGCTAAAACGAATTAATTCGGTGGAGGGCAAGGCGTTCGAGCGGATGAACGTTAACGTTGTGTTTCGTTTGGACGGCCAAACTTTTCCGCCGGTTATCGTGTATAAACTGTTCAGCAAGCAGGTTGTTATCAACGTGTGTGACGACGAGAAAATGAAGAAGAGCAGGCGGCGGACGAAGGGGGCGAAGAGAAAGACCAGCGATTGGGGAATGTTTTACGTTTATCGCGCGAGAAAGAAAACCAAACGCGTAGCGGGGCGAAATAAGTTTGTTTTCCAATTTAATGGGGAGCAAAGACGCGTTAAGAAAGGAAACATCAAATGGATTCACGATGTTTATAATATCTAACTTTACAGTATTTATTTTCTACTTTGTAAATGATTTTTAATAAGATTCTTCAAAGGGTTCATGGTCATGCTGTCAACTTCATATGTATGTACTTAATTTAGACCTTTCCCCACTCAATCCACTATACAATCACAAACAGCCATACCTTACCTGGGATTCGAACCCAGGACTCTTGTAGTCAAAGTTGTAGCTACTAACATAACCTCATCTGAGCTACACAGGTCGGCTACATGGCTCCCCTCCTCTGATGCCCCGTCACCCTCTGATCTCGAGATCTCGAATAAGAGTCGCGCGGGAAGGTTTTAGTTTGTACCAACCAATTTATTTCGATGAGACCTTTCATTATAATACCAAAGATGCACGTTTTACTTTCAAAAACACCATCTCATTTGACAATCAACCTTTACCTCAATTGTTCCGTGTAAATACGGGATGATAAGAAAGTAGAAATTACAAAATATACTTAACCTCCTTCAAATCTTACCTGTCGATGCAACACACTGTATAGTAATGACTTTTCGACAAAATTTCTGCATCGTTCCATGTGTTCACTCTCTATTTTCGACACTTCTATAGGAAAATATTGTCAATTTCAGAATGACCCTATATTTTCCGAGTTTTTTTTTAGTGAAACAGTAAAATTTTTATAACAAAAGTTTATTTATAAGGATTGTTGAATGTTCTGGCGTTTTCAAAATAAGCATACATGGTCAGGTAGAATAGTTATCGGATTTTTTTTAATGGAACAGCTTGTATATTATATTTTAAAAGATAACCTATTAAATTTTCTTTTCAAAAATATAACACTAAACAATTCAGTATTGGCTCAAATCGATTAAAAAAGAGTTAAAAATCAAAAAACTTTACAAATTTTTTAATCATTGGAAACCTTTTTTAATTCTTCATTTTTAATCTTTTTGAATATTTTTTTGAATTTTTTTGAACCACTTGAATCTTTTCATAAATATAAATTCATTAGTTCAAATCGATTAAAAGGATTTCCAATTTTTTTAAATCAAAAATCTTTAAAATCGTTTTTAATCATTCTTTGTTTTTAATCTTTTTTAATTTTTTGAACCCTTTGAATCTTTTCGAAAATATAATACTAAAAAATTCAATATTGTTCCAAATGGATCAAAAAACAATTTAACAGTTTTTCTTAACAATCAAAAATATTTTAAGAAATTTTTAATCATTTGAACCTTTTTTAATTCTATATTTTTAATAATTTTGAATCTTTTGTAAATTGTTTGAACCGCTTGAATGTTTTTTCAAATCATCCCTAGTGTATTTTTTGAAAGAGAATTTAATGTTATCTTTTGAGATTAAAATAGTATAGTGGAGGGTTTTCCATGAAAAAAATGAGGGTAGGTCCGATAACTGACTCCGTGTACTTATTTTGAAAATGCGGGATTATTCAACAATTATTATAAAGAAACTTTTGTAATAGACATTTTGTTGTTTCGTTTAACTAAGAAATGATTAATTTATTTACTTGCCATTTCACGAAAACAAATTTTAAATATTACTTCCGAAATGTATAGTTTCTTGATATTTTCAATGATCTCTTAAGCGAGAGAATATTTTTAAGTTTCACGCCAAAAGACCACATGAAGCCTATATGACTTGTTTGATAAAACTAACAATTATGGAGATACTCTATCAAAGTGTTGAAAATGCGACGGAACGGGCTCGAGCGTCATCAAACGGGAACACAAGCAACAAGCATAAATTAATTAGCGGTAGGTACGGAAAATCAAATGCAGGAAAAGTAAAACAATACTCTCCTATTTTAATTAATTGTGCAACTTGCTGACGTCCTAAAAATCTGTAATTGGGCTTAAAAGTCAAATTAATTAAAAGCGCTTCTTTTGAGACTACTCATGGCCTAATCGGATGTTGTTTCAGCAACTTATTTAGTTGATTTTTACTTAACATTACGAACTAAAATTGGTTAATAATTAATTATCGGAGCCGAAATCCCCCAAAATTAATTTACTAATATAATCAAAGCCTTCAAAACACTACCGCAAATTATTTTAGGCCCCCGTCCTCTCAATCTGTACCTGAAGGCCATACCATATCGGCTATTGTTCGGCTTTGTAGCTGCGCTTGTGGTGTGGATAACACCTTACTTGGTCCCCAATCCGAAGAACGGGCTACCAATGTCCTACTACATCCTCCTTTTGATCTGCTACGCTTTGCATCAGGTACGCTCGTCCGCCCCCTCTCGCAATTATTAACGCTTCGCTTTACAGATTTGTGTTTACAGCATGTTTGTGGCAATAATGGCGTTTTTCGCCCGAATTAGCGATCCGATAGTCGGAGGCACCTACATGACCCTCCTAAATACGGTCTGCAATTTGGGCGGTAACTGGCCGGCGACTTTGGCGCTGTGGTTTGTCGACTCGCTGACGTGGAAGGATTGCGTTGGCGGAACGAATACGACGGACATCACGTGCGCGAACTTGGCTGAGACTGAGGTATCGTTGCAGTTCCTACATCAACAACTTATTCGTTTTCCTGTACTTCTAATTTAACATTTACAGTTATGCACTGGAAATGGAGGTAAATGTATAACGACGATGGACGGATATTACATCGAAACGCTTGTATGTGCCGCCATTGGTTTCGCGTGGTTATCATGGGGAAGAAAGAAATTACAGCACATTCAATCTCTCGGCGAACAGTCATGGAAAATACCCAAGCGAGTTAGGTAGTATTAATAATGGCGCACAGATTAGGTCAATTACAAAAGACTTACCCATATTTAGTAAATTTATAAACAATTTACCTGACTGCAATTGCATCATGTGTCCAGTATTTGCATTTGTTATATTGGTTTGTGAGTTTATTTATTAAGTGAAAAAATTTTTTATGTCATTGAGTTTATTGTTATTTATGATTACAGATATTGTTAATTGATTGTAAATACAAATTATTTTATTTATCGTTATTTTTAATGCACCCCAGCTTGATACATACATCAAAATATGCTTTGCGGATATAAATGTGGAAGACCTACTTAACTTCTGGAATAACTTGAGGGAGGCAAACGTACCACCTAACAAAAGAAGACCTATGAATTTTCAGGCCAGAAAATGACGTCACCCCAATCAGATACAAGGATAATATATCCTAAGTGCAATGACAAACAGTCATTAAACCACCCATCAGCACCTGTCCTTGAATCTCGATTTGGACGCACATTGGGTTCGTTGTAATTACAGATGTAAAATTGACTCTTTGATGGTGAAAAAACTCCCATGGCAGGTACTGGAATAATGTTAAAACAACGCTCGATAAATACATTCCCAGCAAACTTCTTCGTTAATTTTACTTCTTTAATTCGACTTAAACATTGGGTTTAAGCGAGGTACTCAAAATCTCTTAGAGCACTCAACTTCTACAAAACTACAACTGGAAAGACGGACTGTCTAGCAATAATACGCTCAAATACGGCAAATCACCAAAACAATAAGCGACTACGTTTCACCGCCCCTACAAAAAAACCTCGATTCACGTCTTCCTCTGCTATTTAAAACGTTCTTTTCTCTCTGTTCCCGCCTGTCTTCTGCTTTAATTTGCGTTCGAAATTCAACATCTGTGTTTTCTTGTTTTGCTGCTAATTAGCTCATGCAGCGATTAACAAGTTTCTTATCGCAACGATCGGATTTGAATGAGATAAATCTGTTTTAAACATTACACTTAAATCTATCTGAACAATAAAATGAACAAATTGAAAAGCGATTAGGTACTTAAACAAAATTACATATAATTAAATAAATAATTCTAAACAAAAACAACAATGAATTCAAATAATATGATCGTGGCCCATCATTAAAATATGCCAGAAAATCGCCAGGTGTCGATCGAACTTTACCTTAGCCTAATTTTCAAGGTCTTGTCCAGGAGGCGAACTAGTCCAGAAACAGCTCTATATGACTGTCGGCCTTGATAATGAAATGGGGCGACAAGAAAATGGAGGTCGTTGATCTTAGATAACCTTCCAAATGAAATTAAAAAAGTGGGATTATTTACCTTGAAAATAAAATAAGATAAAAAATGGGTTCGTTGAACTTGGATGATTTTGAAAATAAAATCAGGCGTCATTACAAAAAAGGGGTCATTGACCTTGGATGGCCTTGTAATTTGACACCACGAAAATTGTGTTTATTGATCTTGGATGACTGAAAATGTAATTCAACACTACACAGAATAAACTGATTGGTCTCTTGGATGACGTTAAAATGTTAATTTGACACCACAAAACGGAATCGATGATCTTGAAAATGTAATTTAACGCTTCAATTAAAATGCAATTTGACACACCAAAAAATGAAATGCATTAAACGACATCAAAATCACCTTGCCCTTTGAGCTTTACCTACTTTCCAAGGTCACCGCACCGTGGCACGTTACCTTGACCTGCTTTCCAAGGTCGCCACTAGGTTGCGATCAATACATTCTGCCTTGTATTCCTACTCAATATGATAATCGATGTAATGTAAGAAGGAGAAAGCAGACTTCGACTCAGTCAATCGCGCTTCCACTAGTGACATCTTATGGTGTTTTCTTACGAAAAACGCGATCGCGTACAATTATTTCAAAACCGAAAGCGGCAGAATCTATAGATTTTAAAACGAATGTTTCAAGGTCCCGGATAATCTAAGATCTGTATCCCAGGCGTATGGGGAAGGGTTCGGCTGCCCCGCGTTCAAAGTAACACGTGTTGAAAAAAAAAATAACGGACAATCTTGGAAAAAGAACCTCTTCAGTCTTCTCGTTTCCTCCCTCCCTTCTACATATTTCTAAAAATTTTCGATTCATCCATTTATCTAATCTTAAAAATTCTGATTCATTTTTCGATATTTCGTAGTTAGTAACCAGTAGGTATTTTTCGCGTTCATTTAAATTATCACTAAAAGGTGCCCAGTTTTGGAAGTGTCATAAACTGCTTCGATCTAAATTTGTAGAACTGACCTTATACGACGCCCAAGGCAGAACCAATTTAGACACGCTCAGTGAAAGACCAATAACTATTTCCGTGACCAATTATCGTTCTTTAACTTGTTTATAATGATCAATAAACGGAAATTACATTGTGGACTCATAAACTAACACCGCAGTATCTAAGTTAGATACTGGTTTTGAAGATCTTCGATCAGGGCTGTTTGTTCGCGACGTTCATCGGCAACCCTTTGCAATTTCCGACACAATTCCATATTAGAAGCGAAACAATGTTGAAAGTACTTTCTTTCCAAACGATACACTTCGCATATTTCCAGTGCGTAGACAGTCGCAATTCGTTTCTGATCTTTTTGCAGTAGAGCTATCTCTCCAAAGAAAGCGCCGTCATAGAGATGGCACACCTAGAACACAGCATACACGTGAATAGGTAAAACGTTCGCAAAGGTTAGTAACATCTAGATACATAACAGATAATTGCGACCAACGCAAACAGCAGACCAAAAAAGTAAGTAAATTGCAAATGTCTAACATTACAATTTAACAACGTGGTTTTGACACAAGTCTTGTACATGGATGCTACAAAAACCCAGTTCGTATAGATTTATAGCATCTAAATATTTTTCAAGATAAAGATGAATTGTACCTCCCGACCAGTTGGAGTAATGACACAGACAGTACCACTTGATAGAAAATACATACAATCACCAATGGTGTTGGCTTTCATAATGATGTCATTCGGTAAAAATATGTCGTGCCTTAAGCAGTTAACGATATCAACAACAACCTGATCTGGCACGCCCTTAAAAAGAGAAACCGTGTCAATTAGCCTTCTATAATTGTATACGTTAATTTCACGTCGTAAACGATCTACAAAACGAGCGATGAATACCTACGCAGCTGCGAGGGCTTACCGGACATCGTAGCTTTTATAACCTCTTCTCGAAAGTATTTCTTCCGAAAACGATACTCGTAGCACGTCATTATTCTGTTTTGAATGTCGCAGGGCAGTTGCTTGTATCTCATGTATTCCTGCACCTGACTGACTATCTCTTGGTATTTCGATTCGGCCGATCCACCTGAACACACGTATTGTAGTATTAGAACTAGAAGCGATTAATCTAAGTATAGATATGTACGTAAGAAGAGTTATACTTAGCAATATCGCCATTAAAACATAGCCGATTATGGATGTCGATATGCTTAGTACCAAATCGATATAGGTTTTTGGAAGTTTGCCGCCATGATCAACGTCTGTAAATCGAGAGGGCCTAACGTTTATGATCAGTATTTTGGTACTTACTAAAAAAGAAACAAGACGCTCTAAAAAAGCATTGAATATAGATCGCAACTAGTGAATCTGTGTCGGTCAACTTAGACCCTTCCATGTCCATCCAATAGTCGCTATGATCACCCACGGACAAGATTTTTATCATACGTGGTAATGCATACAACATGCATGTGATCCAATGTAGAACAATCCCTATTACTATTGCGACTAGGACAATCAAACCGCATAGTACATTTTTTTGATAAATCTGGAAAAATCGATTAACACAATCCATTCTGGTACATATTTTTTATGTATCTCATGAGAGATATTAATTTCAAAGAAAACATTGGATACTCAAAATGTGCCACTTACACTAATAGTACGATACATGAAGGTGCAGAAATCGTACAACCTAAAAATTTTGAGCAGATACATGCAATCAACAACTACGTGCTTTGAATGGTGTCCAATGCATATCAATCCAGCTGGTAAAGAAGACAGTACATTTACGTAAAAGTGTGAACTTCGGATATATCTCCTGCAAAGTTCGTTTTAGTGTTAAGGGATAGCAGCTTGCAGCCTCACTTTGCAATCATGATAGGTTCCAGAATCACTGTCTTTGTTGGGACATCAGGATACCCGGTAAAGAAAGTGATTACGATGTCAATTATGCAAATGAGATCAATTATTACTTCTACGAAAGTGAAACCGGGTGCATTCACTACCGGATAGAAGGCTATGTCAAGTGGGATTAGAATCAATCCAAAAAAGAGCACAAAAAGCATCCAGCATTTCCAAACTATCCTAATAAAAAAATAATCTGGTTTGGATAAACGAACTATGCGGAATAGTTACCTAAATATACTAAAGGGGTGAATTACGCATGGAAGGTTAGACGCAAGGTGCCTTTGTCTTTCCAATTCAATGGCTGCATTGGTGCGAAAATACGATTTGCTGTGATAGTTGTGTGGAGACACCCGAGTTAATTTCATCCACAACGTCTCAGTTTCGCCGAAATACGACTGATTAATTTTTGGAGGTCCAGAGAGGGAGCAGTTGTGCTTATAATTACTCATTTAATAACTTTTTGGCACTTTTCGATATTTGACGTACGAATAATTGGGTCACTACTTTTTCTTTATCGTCATGGCAACAGAACAGTTCAGTGGAACCGTTGAGTGAAACAGTGGAACTATAAAATAAAACCTTATTCTGTTACTGTATGTATGTGTGTCCCTTTTGTAAAGGGTGTGAATATTTTCAATTATACATAATGCTTTTTAGCCCGAGCGTGAAGGAATAAAATGTTGAAATTAACGTACAACTCTCGCCAGGAAAGATTGCCGGTCACAGAACACTTGATCCCGATCTACAATTTATGTTTTTCGTAAAGTGCTAGCGACTTCCGGAATAGTATCGTGTCATTGTTGAACGAAAAGACTTTTTGTTCAACATTAGCACGATCATATCCCAGAAGTCGCTCGCATCTTAATAAAAACAAAGATTGTAAATCGACACAAGGTGTGCTCGACATTCAACTGTAGACTCGAAACCAGGGGCGGGTTACCTATCTTGCAGGAGCGGGATTACGCTAATTAAAGCTCTTCAGTTTAAAATCTATGTGCGATAAATGAGTTATGATTTGTAATTTCCACCTATCTTATTTTATTCAAATTTGCCCACAAGGCCATGTAATTTTCCATCTTGCTTTTAACAAAAGATGAGTCACATCCTGTGTATTTCACCTTTTCTTAGAATCTTGGTAGGTACCTGCTTACTTGGCCCATAATTCCCAAAACTTGTTTTTAACCTATATGTTACCTCTTGAAGTCTACCTGCTAATTTTTGTGATGTTATAATTTTATGTTAGCGCATTCACATCATTACAAACAATTAATTTTACAACACAATTTGATATTAATTTGACGGCTGGTTTTTTTATTGGTAAGTTCTTTTTTTCCCAGCCTATTTCTATTTTTATTCGCGAACTACCATTTTCAAAGTTTATTTTTGCAATGTAATTTATTTCGACTTAAGGCCAATTCACATTATCGGTCAGATCACGGTCCGGTCAATTATTGTAGCGTGTATTTCTATGTACATGTTCTAACCGTGACCTGACCGTCAAATGTGAATATTCCTATTGAAATAGCATGTTACAATATTTTGAGCGGAGCGTGAGCAGAGCGTCACTTGAGCTATAGTATGAATTGGCCTTGAAATTTCCGAGCTTTTACAATCAATAATAATTGCAATAATTATTAAACAAACTTTTCACAATTTGAGTGTTTTATTTTAGCGTTCCTTCTTCACTGTGGTTCAGGTCAAAGCGTTGTTTACAACTAACGTAAGGGGGCCCTGCCTTAGATATCTTATCACGTGCCACTTTTCAAATTTAAGCGAGAACTTGTTTAGTTTTGGAGGGAATAGTCATTCGGGTGGCCATTTTTAAACGTTGCCGGGTTGACTTTATTTCCGTGTTCTTGTAGTGTGAAGTTAGTGTAGAACCTGGGGGTTAAGTACATTACAATATGTCTATATATAATAGACTACGTTTATCTCGGCGCTTCCATCCGATTGAATACATCCACTTGGATTGTACGAGATAAACCGGTTTACTCGAGTTCTCGATCGGATGCGCGGAGACAACTCGATCCTCTACTTTTGTCGGCTTGAATTGACTGAAGTGGATGCAAGTGCTACATAATATGTTGACGACATAATAAACACGATTGAATCGAATTAGTAAATCAGTTCTGCCTATGCCTATAGTGCCTACATTCGTATTATTTACTTTGAATTGTGAGGTTATTATCGCCTGTCTTTGTATAATCATGAACTTAAAAAAGAAAGCGGCTGCTGCTACCTATTTTTAGTTTTTCAACTGCATTTATTGACATGCAGTATGATTTATTTTAGGTACTTAACAGAAATACCGTTTGCTGTCCTAAGCATTTGAATGTTACTAACTTGAAGTTAGTTGAAAATAGATGCTATCTTGGTTTAACGTTACGTTCATCTCTTTTCAGTGGCAACGGCTTCAAAAGAGGATTGTCTAATTCTTTAATTGTTCCGCGACAAAAACGCTTCAGCTTGAAACGAGGTTTGACTTTACTCAATCGTCCCATCCGATGGAAACCACGATAACCTGCACGTTAAGTTTAACGTTAGTGATTCAGCACTGAATACGGTTCATTACAGATTCCCGTATAATAACTGAGGTAAAATATTGCCAATTACTCAACGTACGTTATTTCGCTTGCCCGATGCTAGAAAGAGATTGAACGCTAATTTCAAAGGCCTCGTGGATCCTTCGCGAAAAATACATTACCATTTCCCTATGGTGTGTTCTACCTGGGACACGCTGTATACGTTTTACAACAGACTATTGAAGACTTATTAGTATATAATGAAAGATTGAAAACCATCACAATGCTTGCCATATAAGTATAACCTACCTTCTGTTAGCTATAAATTCAATGCTTGAATTGTATACTTTTCGAACGTTTAGATTTTTCAAAGCGTCACTCTGTATAATATGTAATCTGCCACCTGCCCATTGAGTTAGAAAACTAATGGAGGGAATCAAATGCTTGGCCAGACGTAGACCACGGGAACCAAAAGTGGCCTCTAACTGTGATTAAAGTACCACACCACTTCCGTTATCATTAGCGTCTCACTTCAGTGGCGTAGAGATATAATTTTCTTTCCACTAATAGGAATAATAACAAAAAAAACTTATAGAAGGAGTAAAATACATGCTCGTGGTAAAGTAAACAAAATAGGCAAGGATGGGAAAGTATGCAGATTTAATATAATCATTGATTACAAATCTAAATATACATCGATGTGTTCCATTAGTATAATTAAGGCCAGTTTACTATAACCACTACAACTTGACAACTCCCATGAAATTCACTGTGTTGATCAATAGCTACAATTGATTGGTTGGTCTCAGGTTCATTACAAGTTTTGATAGTACCTACCTACTGCATATTTGACGAGATATTTGATGAACATTTTCCGGTGCAACCTTTGGTCGAAATCACAGTCAATGAAGCGTTGTGAGCACAAAAGTAAATTTCGAGAGCTGTTCTTGAGATATATTTACAAATGTTAGGTAACCATTTTGCTCGAAGTTACGGTTCGTTTGGAAAACTAAGAAACATAAACTATAGGTACCTACAACATGATAAATGACATGTCTTACCGATGTAAGGAAATGCCCTGTTTCTTCCCTTTATGAAAAATTTTGCATGATACGCAGCTAATCATTCTCAATTCACAAAATTGCGTGTGATAAAAACACTATGAGGCAGTTAGTTATTTATATAAACCAGAGCACAAACCGATCCGAAATTATTAGGTACTTTAAAATGGTAAATTTAATAAAATTTGAATTTGGTGGAAAACTGACAGTGACAGGACCCGCGTTTTCATATGTCAAATAATGTCGGCCAAAATGTACCTTCACGGGAACCTATCCACGCGAGTGGCCTCTATCTGTGGCAACTTCCGTCTACAAAAATTCTTACCCCCTCTACCATTATATTCCCTCCATTAGTTTTCTAACTCAATGCACCTGCCACAGTCAATGCGCCTGCGCAGTTTGTTTTTGTTTATATACTCTTATCGCCATTTTGTGTGCTAAATTTCCTTTCAATTTACAAACTATTTCTTTCGTGAAAGTATTCAAACGATAAAACAACAATAAAAATCATGACTGACGTTATTGAGTTAAACGTAAGTGCGGAAGACAAAGAAACACTTCGTTGTGCAAATTGCGGTGGTTATTTGTTATGGTCACCAATACGCATTTTACCAAACGGCAACAACATCTGTGGACATTGCCATCTGAACAACGACGTGATCTGCTATCGGAACACCACTTTGGAAGCTCTCCTAAAACACGCCGTATTCCCCTGCAAATTTCGAGCCAACGGCTGCCAGGCACGTATACGCTTCTCGTCGGCCTGCGACCACGAAAAGTGTTGCTCATTTAACCATTCCAAAACCAACGAGAACCAAGAGGGAATTATTTTCGTCGACGACGAAATTTCGACAACAGCTGCAGAGCCGCCGAGCACATCCCAGTCGAGCCCGTCTACATCGGTATGTTTTTCGTTCTTAAGTATTTTTTCTAGTTGATTCTTTTAGCAGTCTGTGAAAGACAAAGTCATTCCGCCACTTATGAAATCGTCGAACAGTGTCTATGAGCCTCCTAATATTGGGGATATGGTATGTGTCATCATTTGTCGATTTTCCTTTTAATAAGTTTCTTTTAGAACACCAAACATGAGCCTGCTTCACAGGCGGGAGGTGTAAGTATTAACTGTTACTTTTTATGTTTTGTCGATTTAGTATTCACCTTTGCTTAAACGATTTTCAGACATCAACGGGTAATAACGCGGTAAGTTTGATGGTAGAAATTAGTCATTTTATGGCACGCTTTAATATTGTTGGTGATGTAGCAGTTTGTAGTGGGCTTATGGCAAGTCTACTGTAAAGCATAGAATTTCCGCTTTGTAGGGTGTGTTTACAATTAATGGATCAAAGGCCTTTTTTTTTGCAAAAGTACCCATGTTTCTGCTGAAATTTTTCATGTAGTATCACAATGCAACTCTTAACCTCAATGTTTGCATGCAAATTAAGTAAATTTCTTTTCTGACTAAATCTTTTTGTTATTGAAGATTGGGGCAACTTTAAGAAAGCACTTTTTGGTGTAGAATAAACTGCTATTTTACTATAGTGTTCGTAAGTTTCCTCTAACAAAAAGAAATCTTTTTCTATGGGCGACCAGAGCAATATCTCTTGGGGCATTTTATTTTTTATAGCAACTGATTTTTTTGTTATTTTTTTCTGAATTACTGAGTTTCTTGGTGTTTTTTTTTTGTAGTAAATATTGACTGTTGCATAGAAGTCCCGTTTTTCATTTAGATAGATCCAATCAAGTCACCAAGGTCAGATTTACTGTACAGAAACGTACCTCTGTCTATATTCCAAAGGAAAAAAGTACATGTACTGCCAACATCCCAATTTTTATAATTTCCAAAAAATACTAGGAACTTCTACTGCCCGCCACATTCTACGAACGCATTTCATTGACTGATAACGATTCCATAGACTACAAACTATTCCCCTGACTGTCTTGATTTATTAATATGAGGATCACCACATTCAAAGTGAAGCTTTACAATCCTGTACCCTTGGTATAAACCATATTATAGTTATTTGTTTCATTAGTACAAAAAATGTCAGTTTTCGGGACGAGGAAGATAGTTGCTGGACAACGCGTTAGCGGAGTCCAGCAACCTTCCGAGTCCCGAAAACGCATTTTTTGTACGAATAAAACATACAATTTTTTCTCCAGCCCCCTTTACTTTAAATTATATTAGAATTTAGATTCAGTTCACAGTTTCACTACTAGTTTGAGAACTTCTGCTTTCTTGTCCTCAGGTGTCATGCCACTCTAGTTTTTAGGTTAACTTATATCCTATTCGTTCTTACTTCTCACCTCTCGCGACTTTGTAGGGAGCAAGTCTAAGGTAGCATGTTCTGCCATTTTTATAACCTCTGGCGGAGTGATATCCATGTCGCTATCAGTTTCAGTCATTTCTATTGTATACAAAATTAATATTGTTATATTTTGTATTGAAATAAAAAACTTACCATACAGTTTTTTAATTAAAATTAATTGCAATTAACTTTTTCAAATTTTGAATTCAAAATGACAGATAATAGTGCAATGGGTCTAAAGTAGATGGCGTTACGCGCAACGGCGGGTTGTATACGTATTAAAATTACATTCACCGAATATGTAAATTACATTACACATCGTTTAAATAAAAATAGCCAGCGTAAATCATTTTCAATACATGTACATACGTATAGGTATAGACATTATTTGCATTGAATATGCAAAAATGTTTGATTTGTATGTATAGAAATATCTTACAACCTGCAATGTAAAACGATGTCAATGTGACATATCTCCGTGATAGTAATTTTTTAATTGGAGGACCAAAAGTATCCACTTTTTGTACAGTTGCCATGGCACTGTCACAAAATAGCGTCTTATTCAGGTGGTTGGAGAAAAAATTATTTTTTCTCCAACCACCTGAATAAGACGCTATTTTGTGACAGTGTTCGGTACGTAAAATTGACGTTTTGCGGATTAATCGTTTTCACCATGGCAACTGTACAAAAAGTAGATACTTTTGGTCCTAGTATCAAAAAGAAATTGACCTTGAAAGTTGGCCAATTAAAAAATTACAATCACGGAGATATGTCACATTGACATCGTTTTACATTGCAGGTTATAAGATATTTCTATACATACAAATCAAATCTTTTTGCATATAAATGCAAATAATGATGTCACCTATACGTATGTACATGTATTGAAAATGATTTACGCTCGCTATTTAAACCATGTGTAACGTAATTTACATATTCGATGAACGTAATTCTAATACGTATACAACCCGCCGTCGCGCGTAACGCCATCTACTTCAGACCCCTTGCACTATTATCCTTGCACTATTATCTGTCATTTTGAATTCAAAATTTGAAAAAGTTTATTGCAATTAATTTTAATTAAAAAAACTGTGGTAAGTTTTTTATTTCAATACAAAATATAACAATATTAATTGTGTATACAATAAAATGACTGAAACTGATAGCGAAATGGATTGCACTCCGCCAGAGATTATAGAAACGGCAGAACACGCTACCTCAAGATTTGCTCCCTACAAAGTCGCGAGAGGTGAGAAGTAAGAAGTCAGAACGAATAGGTTATAAGTTAACCTAAAAACTAGAGTGGCATGACACGTGAGGACAAGAAAGCAGAAGTTCTTATACTATAGTAGTGAAACTGTGACTGAATCTAAATTCGAATATAATTTGAAGTAAAGGGGGTTGGAGAAAAAATTTTATGTTTTATTCGTACAAAAAAATGCGTTTTCGGGACTCGGAAGGTTGCTGGACTCCGCTAACGCGTCGTCCAGCAACTATCTTCCTCGTCCCGAAAACTGACATTTTTTGTACTAATGAAACAAATAACTATTTTCAAATTATAACACACCATGATATTTAAACAATACAAAAAATTTCCAAACAATTTTTTTTTAAATCTTTTGTTAATTTATATTTTTGAAAAGAGATTTTAATGTAGTATCTTTTTAGATTAAAATATACAGTTATGCCATTAAAAAAAAATGAGGTTAGGTCCTATAACTGTTCACCTAACTGTATACTTATTTTGAAAATGACAGATTATTCAACAAACATTATAGAGACTTTAGATGAATTGCTCCATTGGTCTTGAGTATAATATATTATGTAAAGCCCATGAGTTACTCAAAAAAATGTTTCATACACATTTTTTAGTAACGCATGTAGCCTTACGTACTTTATTATAAAGAAACTTTTGTACTAAACAGTTTTCTCCAACTCCAACCCCCCCCCCCCCTCCTTGGCTGACTGAATAGGTTTATTTTTCGCGCACAATCAACATGTTGAAAGTTTTAACTTTAATTTTTGTATGAAAAATACCCAACATCTTCTTTGCTAATCCCTAAGTGTTTTTTTTACATTTTTAGTTTTCTAATCAATAAATTCTGACGAAGCGCCATCTTAGGGGGGGGGGGCTACAGTGGGGACACTAGATGTGAACTGTAGATAAAAACCTTCAAAATGACTTAGCTCCATTAAAAAAAAAATTAAAATGGCGCACAGTCGCTAGTCGCTAGTTTTATTTTATGTCGAGAAGTAATATTTTATATCTCAATGTTCCCTACCCCCAATTTAAAATCGATATGAGTTATCGTTTCCAATTTAGAGTAAGAGAGAGGGACCCGTTGCATTTAAATTTTGGGATGGGTCAAAATCTGTTACGCTAAAGTCACTAGATATAGAAAGTACCGCAACCATCCGCCATTTTTGGGCAAATTTGCTGCCAACATAAAAAAATTGAGAAATAAAATCTGAATAGCTGTCATTTTTTATAAAAATATATACAGATATCTCCAAACAGGTGGAACAATCCCTCACATTAAAATTACTAGAATCTCGTAACTTCCGTCATTTTTGGGCAAAAATCATGCATTCTCTCTCTAACACATGAACCCAATGGATTGTGGTACTTTCTATATTTAGTGACTTTATGTTACGCAATTCTAAAGCGCCGTCTGGTGTCTGGTGCCATACTTGAAATATCTCTTCATTATTAAACAAACCGAAGTTTTTGATAATCCATGATACAAAAAAGATGATAACATTGTTTTGACATTTTGTTTATTGAACATTAATATAAAAGTAAAGTTAGTCCAGGTTATTTCCAGGCTAAAAATTGAAAAAAAAATTTGATACACTATAAAAAAAGCTTTAAGCAAATGTCAACATTTATTTTTAAACTCAGAAAGGTAAGATTATTTAATTTTTGAAAAATATACTGGACGTTCCATTAAAATGTACCAAATTTTCATTTTTATTCACTTTGCGGTATTCATTTGTTTCTTGACTTGACATTTTCTAATGGTTTATGATAAACTTTACAACATGTGACACACCCAATTCCTTTTGTTAGTGGGGTATATTTTGGTCCTGTCTAGTACTGTTTAGAAAAGCATTTAAAAATGTATAAAAATCGCTCAGGCTGTAACGCTTTCATTTATTTTATTTATCTTTCCCCTGAAGACCACATGTTCAATCGTACTAATTCTTTCTTTGTTTTTAGAGCGAATGTTCAGAAACGCCATCAACCAGATGGAACAATCAATCTAGAGGGGTGAGTATATACCTAAAATTTGCCAGATTTTTTGGTTACCAGGTGCCTTCAGTAAACTACGTTTCCATTACAGAACCGACCGCGATCTTTCGCTTCCGATAACAGATCGCCGGGTTACTGGGTATGTTCATACGTTTTATTGAAGACAGTCATGTATCACTTTTATGTTTCAGTATCGTAGGAGAAATTACGCACCTCAACAGCCGTACCATGTTGACTGGGTAAGTCTGTTTTGGATATGTAGTGTAATTATCATATAGACCTTTTTGTACAGTCAATAACAAGAAATTGATTTGACATACAAATTTGATATTATTTTACTTAGTTGCTATTTCAAGATTTTAATGTATTTCTTTTGTTTCAGAGATCCAACAATCTGGTATGTATACTCATGCGTTTAAGTATTATTTAAGCCTTACCATTTTTTGTAGTGCGATAGACAATTCCACCCAGACCATGTCATGTTTAAACGACGGAACAATGTCATCATTATTAAGGGTGGCACGTTCTATGTCAACTGGTAAACGTTCTGTTTGTTTTATTACTTCCTTGTCGTATGTTACTTGCTAGAATAATGTTTTAGTTTTCCATATTTCATCTTTGGTTAGTTTCACTGGGAGTCGTTTTCTTTATAAAGGTATTCATAAGAGTTGAATTTAGTTTTGTACTTTTCAAATATATGTATTTAGTATATTATTTGACTTTTACTGCCGTAGTAGATACACCACTGGTTTTAATCTTCATTTTTTGGATTAATTTTGAGTTTTTTCAGGTATATATTTACCATTGTAGCAGCTATTTGGTCTCGATTTTATTCTCACAAAAATTGCAACTTTGGTAAGTTCACAAGCAACAATCAAATTTATTAGACAAAGTCAATTAAATGAGACTGAAATAAAAATAGACACTCAGTGCCAAATAACATACCACGCAACAAGCGATCGATCTTAATTACCTTAAAAAGTTAATCACCTAAAATATCCGGTTGTAACTATGATTTTCAAATAGACGCACTAAAACAACACCACCTACTTTTATACCAGTGCACTTGAATTTCGATTTAGATGACACTGGGTTCGTTGTAATTACAGATGTAATATTGGCCCCTTGATGGTGGAAAAACTCTCATTACAGCAAAACAAAACTAACGTCCATCACCAAATAAGCAACGATTCACGTCCGTCTCTCTGTTCCGTGCCTTTTTCTTATCAAATTTAATGTGTCCATTAACAATGCACTGTCTTCTTATCGGTGAAACTTGCTTATCTTTAAAGTACTGAGCTTACGCAGCGATGACGCTGTTATCGCAATGACCGGAGATAACGAGAGATGAGACAAACTTTTACCAAAATTACACACAATTAATTCCAGATGTTCCTTAACTTACCTATACTATCTGAACAATAAAATAAACAAAAAAGGACACTTATTTAAACAAAAATTACACATCCTTTAAATAAATAATTCAAAATTAAATCGATGTCTTCAAACTTGAATAATAAGTTCGAACTTGTTTTCATTCTGAATTAGCGACTAACATTTACCGTTAAAAATTAGTGAAAATGCATGCAGGGTGACCCAACATTATTCTAGGTGCTGATACTAACTACATAAAACATCTGCATAACGTATGTAGTTTACATAACGTATATTTTATGCGTGTCCTTAAAACATTTCATTAATGTAGTTAAAGAAATTAATAAAACGAAGCGAAAAAACGTATCATAATTAAAGAATCAAACTAATTATGTTCTACCATTGTGGATAATCGGAGAATATATAGGGCTACTCAAAACTAAAAATGTACAGGGTGACCTATTAAACAAATTGAAAATGCATTTTGTTGGGCACTCTCTGTATATTGAATTCAGTTGTTGTGTAGGTACAGAGCGTTGCGTATATTTTCGATATTGCTATTCTTTGAGATGAATAAATTGTGGACGGTAGTTCATTTAAAGTAGTTCAGATGTCTCGATTCAAAATTTTGGTGAAACGTCACCTTTATACAAAACTTTGAATAAAAAGTAATTATTTATTAAATGTATGAGACCGCTATAAAATTAAGTGATAGCGCATTAGAAGACCTACGTTGTTATGTCTGCAGCGGGTATTTATCGAGCAGTCCAATAAGAGTCCTACCTAACGGCAGCTGCATTTGTGGAAGGTGTTTGCCTGTGGATAGAAGTACAGTAACTTGCAGAGTATTTGCTCTAGAAGCAATTTTGAACAACGTCTTATTTCCATGTCCAAATAGAGTGAGTGGATGTAAAGCGATAACACACTTTAATAGAACGATAGAGCACGAATCGAAATGTATTTATTACACTTCATCTTGTCCCATCACTGGTAGCAATAACTGTGCATGGGAAGGATCTGGAGCGGAGATAAGCGAACATTTTCTCAAACATCACAATTACCTCTTGCAAGGTAGTGCGCAATTCACAATTACTTCTAATGAAGATTCCCACGGGATCTTCCTGACTCACCCCGATAATCTTTACATTGTCAAATACGACTATGATGCCAAGCAGAAGATGTTGTGGTACGATGTTCGGTACTGCAAGCAGGAGTCTTTCCACGACCTGAACTATACAATTCAGATATTAAACAGTAACCACCACGACTGCACAATGTACTTGAAAGGCGCAAAATGCCATTTGTACAATTCGACTTTCTTCGCAAAGGAGAGCAGGATCCAATTGAATATCAACCAATTTTACCAATACCTGGATGAACCTAGAAGCATTACAGTCGTGATACATTTCAAATATACTAATCCCGGCGGTTATAGCGCCCAAAACTCGCACTTGGTTAGCAGTTTGATCGAAACATTAACCGAATCCCTAGACATGTTTTTTGCAAAGGCGTTCTGGTTCTATCGAGAATACATTTTGCGCCATTCCAAGGAAATCATCGACGTCATTAAGACAGTATTCTATTTGGCAGTTACACAAGTTTGTGTTTCGGCAATTACAGGATCGACTAAGGCTAATCATAAGCGACCGAGAAATTTTTAATTATATATGTGTTTCGCATTTTTAATAAAGGAAAACTCTCCCCATTTTATTTTTTAAATCATAATTTTGTGCGGAGTCAGTCGACATTGCTGCAAGATGGACATGCACTGTACGTGTAGCATCCAGATTGTAAAGGTTGTTGTACTTTCTAAATTACTCAAATTCCAGACAAATGGAAGCCTTCTACGCACTTTTCAGAGCACCTTAAAGTCTTTTTAGAGCTCAGGAGGTGGTATATACAATTAAAGCTCTACTAGAAAACTGAACAGGGTCTGCCGTGGTTTCATAAAAGGCCTCAGACGTTCTAGCCCGCGTAAAGATCATGGCATCTGGAAAGGTAACTCGTCTTGGGAGAGATGCAATATGATTCCAACCAACACATAATATAACGTTGAATATTCAAAAAAATATAAAAATTGAAATGGGCATTAGTTTTACTTTTATTCGAAGTGTCTAGATGTCAAACTTTTTTTAAATACTTTCGTAAATAGCTTTGCGCATTGTCTACATTAGAAATTTCATTGAATACCTTCATAAATAAAACATTCAGCATGCGTAAACAGTAATTTTGAAACCGGTATTAGTTTTAGTTTCATTCAAAGTGCCTACATATGATCATTGAATTTTTCAAGGATATGATATTTCATTTAACTGCTTTCATAAATAAGAAAGTTGCCATTGCGCATGCGCAAAACCAAATTTTAAAACGTGTTAGATTTGCTTGTATTCCAAGTGCCAATGTATTACAATTTCATTTAAATAACTTCATAAAAAAAAAGTTAGCATTGCATATGTGTTAAACCAAATTTTTGACACTGCGCATGCGCAAAACCAAAAACACCCGGTATTCACGGAATCCTTAGACCAAGCCTTTTCAAATGAGCCCTATATCGCCAAAATCGGTTCACTGGGGTACAAGGAGTGCGTGTGATGAACGGACGGACGACAAAGTGCAGCCAAGAGCGATTTTTCACTTTGAGGAAAATAAATAAAAAAAGAAATCAAAAGCAACAAACTCATTCCGGTCCAACAATTACCGGTTGAGTGTCTCTGGTCAATTTTGGCGGTATTCTATACACATCCACCACTCGTGGAACTGAATTTTTGCGACATAACCTCACTTCTTTTCCTATTACTTTTAAATGTAACGCACTTGAAATCAAACTTCTCTTTGACGAAAATGGTTAATATTACCAAGGAGCAAATATTAGCAATAGGTGCCGTGTTAAAGGATGATAATCGTCCACTTAAAGAACGTTTCCGCGCTTTGTTTACACTAAGAAATATCGGCGGACCCATAGCCATTCATTGCATATCGGATTGCTTTAGGGATACTTCGGCGTTATTAAAGCACGAGTTAGCCTACTGTCTAGGCCAAATGCAAGATGAGGAAGCAATTGCAGCATTGGTAAAAGTTTTACAAGATACAAATCAAGAACCGATGGTCCGCCACGAAGCAGGTACGCTTACTTTGGACGTTAAGGCATTTTATCGAGTTTAGTTGTTTTCAGGTGAAGCGTTAGGGGCAATTGGCAAGCAGGAAGTCGTTTCCATTCTGGAAACTTTTGCCAAGGATCCTGTCGTAGAAGTTTCGGAAACTTGTCAACTTGCATTAGAACGAATAAAGTGGCTGTGCAGTGCCAATCAGGAACAACTTTCACAAAATCCTTATGCTTCGGTAGATCCGGCACCCCCTGCGTCCGTATCGAACGTTGCTGAATTACAAGCGACACTATTAAATGACAAGGAAACCCTCTTTAATCGTTATAGAGCTATGTTTGCGTTGAGAAATATGCACACTAAAGAATCCGTGCTTGCGCTCAGCACCGGTTTGAAATCGGGTAGTGCTTTATTTCGTCACGAAATTGCCTTCGTGCTAGGCCAGCTGCAAGATGAGGTGAGCGTGCCTTTCTTGATTGAGTCATTGGAAGATTGCGACGAAAATGAAATGGTCAGGCACGAGTGTGCCGAGGCACTTGGTTCAATCGCAAGTGATGATTGTTTCAGCGTATTAACCAAGTACTTGCATGATAACAAGCGAGTGGTTAAGGAGAGTTGCGAAATTGCGTTGGACATGTGCGAATACGAGAATAGTCCCGAATTTCAATATGCAAATACTTTACAAGCCATGTCGTGATTTCAATTGTATTACTGTACATAACTATGTATACACAAAATTATTTATATTAAACTTGGATGCATTTATTATATAATTGGTATTGATTTTATCTGACTAGAAATGTGGAAAACATATTTTCTAGACCCACAAATCACACTAGTTATTACTTATATAAACTTAATTGGAATGTAGAGGGCAATCCACACCATACTGTATTCATTTTAAGAAGGTAGGGGTAAAAACAGGGAAAATTTGACCTTCAGTGTGATTGGTTAAAACACAAGTCAGTATTACGCTGAAACATAAAACGAGTGGCGAATTTTGCAAGCTGGTAGTTTCTGTTGGCATCTAAACTATTGAAGTGTCATTAACTGTTAATGTCAAAGATTGATTTGTGTTTGTAGTGCTAGATGTTTCTACTTTACAATAATTTGGTGCCGTTTTATATTTTTCCTGTGTGTGCTTATCTTCAACCCCAGCGCCATCTACTACCTTCTTATAATGAATTAAAGCTGAATTTATAGTTCCGTATCCGCAACGCCGTACCGTAACGTTTGGAATTAAACCCTACTTGTTGCGCGTGAACATTTATAGTTCGCGTTAACGTTGCGTTAGAACGGTTACGGTACGTAGGAAATGCCCAAATCTTATTTCTTACGGTAAATCGTGCTAACGCGTTTGTCGTCGGCAGTACTCGGATAATTCAAACAGTTGAGTTTATCCTGACGTTCGTTTCGTTTATTTACAATAATTATTGACACTTTGTTGGTTATTATTATTTTGAAATGCACGTAACTCTTACTGACAGATGACATACAATGACAGAGCGCTAACGCGCAAGCTGGCACTTGCCACTACGGAACTATAAATCGTATTATTTTCGTTAACGTAAGATTTTACGGTTCCGTTCTTACGTTCTTACGGCTACGGAACTATAAATCCGGCTGAAGTATAGAATATCGTTTTTTTGTGAATGCATGGATACTTTACTTAATAAATCATAAACGCACAACCACCAATTGTGGTATACCATGCTTTCAATAAACGGATATCAACATTTATTTGGTACCTATCAATGTTGAGTATACTGAGTGGAGCGTGAGCGTCGCCATGATGTAAACAAAACATGTTTTGCTATAAAGAGAGAGTCGCAGAGATGGAAAATACTGTAACCAAAATAGCTACGCGACAGCTACAAAGAACGAACAGGTGGTTATGCAAATGGCGGGTACCTACGCGTATTGGGCAAATCTAACTTTAAACTTGATCCAACATTAACTCGGGAATTACACAAAATGCGGTTAATCGCCAGAAGAAATCTTTGCAATTAAACTGACATTGAATTTATCAGTACTCGTACAACTACGCTTCAGTGGCGTAACTAAGGTGGGCTACGTACCTTGGCAAACGTAAGTTTTACGCCCCCCCCCCCTCCACAATAATTGGCAAAGAGATTTTCTATTGCTACAAATTTTTAGAGAAGTGAAAATATATAGTGTTCACGGCGAAGTCGGCACCATTGCTAACTTTGTTATTATTGCAGCTACCAAGTTGGTTATATTAGCAAAGATGAAGCGTTTTTTCTCACGATCGCAACCGTCGAATCAGAAAAATTTATTTGGTCCAGGGGAAAACGAATAAAAATAAAACAGTATTTTGAATTTTGATAAATCAGTTCAGGAAAAGTATTCAGCGCGACGCGTGAGGGAGGGGAGGCGACAATAAAAATAATGAGAAAAGGAAAACTACGCCGCGCCCCTTTCCTGCCCTGCGCCCCTTGGCGCTGCCAAGGCCGCCAAGTCCTTATTTACGCCACTGCTACGCTTACCTTGCGAAAGGTGTTTTCAAGGAAAAAGGAAACGAAAACATGCGCATGTTTTCAAAGGATTTAAAATGTGCACAGTGTGATTATACTAATAATGAACTACTGCACCCGACGCGTAAGAAGATCACGCATCCTTACTTCTCATAGCCCGCTGATGTACGCTTCTTATGTGCCGGTACCGTGTCCTGAAACGGCATCTCGATCTCTTAACTTACACAAAAACCTCAAATGATTTAAAATGTGCACACTGTAATGGGATTATATGGAAATGTTAGGCAATGTCAATGTATCAATACGTACCTACGAGGTTCGCCGCGATAGGCGATACAACGTTCATCGGGTCTGCTAATATTTATATAAACAAAAAACATTGTGTGTCTGTCTCTTATGCCTGTCTAAACCGTTCATTCGATGGCGATAAAACTTTGGGGAATATGGTTGGACGTATGCCCGCAAAAGTTAGTTAGTAAAACACTTCTCGAAATGCCCACGGGAACGGGAACAGGAAAAAGCAGGATTTTATGTTTTACAGTAAAAAGAGACTTGACATTTACAACGGGGGTTTCTTCGAAGGCGTTTTGAGGTGTACTCCTAAAGGACTTCCCGGAGTCCCCACGGGAACGGAGTAATGGAATTTGCCAAAGGTGGTACGAAGTTCGCCGGGGCCGCTAGTAAGATATATAATTGAAAACTGCAGTGACCGTTAAACAAATTAAATATACCTACAATGATTATAGAGGCGTTGAATTTTATAGGTACGTGAGAAAATAAAATACGCACCTCTACTTCGTGACTCCTTGACGTCTTCCTCCTAAACGCTTTCTTTTACAACTATTTCATTTGCTCCAATCTCCTCTCTTTCAATCTCTCTTGCTTCTCTTTGCTTGAAGTCTTATAAGCTATTTACCTAGTTCTTGGTTATATTCCAGCGAGGAGATTTTGGGGTTTTTCATTATAACATGCAAAAAAATTAGGAGCCCAATAGATACAACTCGAGAAACTAATCTTTTGAATTTAGGACTAATTTGTTTGTACCCACGAGGAAATTGTAAGGTGTAAACACACGTTCAGTAGTGATCTAAAGGTAAGTTCATAGCTCTCCGTTCATACGTTTCCGTTTGTCCGTTAGCCAATCAGAAGACCGCAAATTTTTAAATCGTACGTCGTCCGTTTACGACGGAAAAGTTGGTTGAAGTTGAACATTTACGTTTCCGTTGGTCCGTTTTTAACAAGAGTGAGGTTATGTTTGGTACGTTAACAGTGTTCGCCTATTCGTTCTTCACGGTGATATTCAGATAGCAACGTGTTCTTATTTTCGTACCATTTTTTCATACTGAAAATCACGGAGGGTACAGTACAAAATAAAATTTAGGTTATGGTTATACGTTGCAAATGTACAATGTGGACGGATTGCTATGAACCTTAACAAAATGTACTATCCGTTTGACGGATCAACGCAACGGATGAACGGAGAGCTATGAACCCACCTTAATGAAACGTGTCATCGAAAGGAATTGGTTTGTACAGGGTGTCTCATTAATAATGGTCACAGGCCATATCTATGGAACCGTTAATTGCACAGCGTCGGGAAAAAAATTTTGTTAACAAAGGGGGCCAAGAGAAATCGCTGGAAATTATTTTCAAGTTTCTAGCTTCGCCGCTAGAGGGCGCACGATACATTGTTAAGTAGAAAAATTACTTTTCTCCTAAAATATACCCAACAAACTTGCATAAAATACATGCATAGCAATTTTGTATCAATTTTGCATCATTTTGATGCAGCACATATTGCTCTAGCTCATAAAATATGAGGGGTGGGGGAAGGGGCAATTAAAATTTGTGAATGTTCGTATTTTCGCCATATCTCTGCTTAGAAAACAGATATCAACAGGAGCGGACTGGGTACTTACGGGCCAGGTGGAATTGCATAGGTTACGGGCCATTAAAGTATTAGTGTAATGAAGATGGCGGGGGGGAGGGCGAGGAGCTCTGCGGTGCGCCACAAAGTATTCCTTTCTCGAAAATCAATAAGAATACATTTTTTTAATTGCAGCTGATAATTAAAAGTAACAAAATATACATAATCCAAACCAGGCGCGTCGCTTATAATTGTGTTTCAGCACTTTCAAAATACGACAAAAAATGATAAATTCATTGTAAAACACTTACCTAAATAAAAACAGAATTTTTTAATGAACAACCTAACATCAACCCCAATGACAATGAGAGAAACGTGTTAATAATTTATTAATAGGGCAAGAAACTAAATACAGCACATACTTATAAATTTCGAACGGGCCATTATGACCTACAGGCCAGGTGGCAATCGCCACCCGCCCCCCCGGGCCAGTCCGCCCCTGGATATCAAAATGCTGTTTTCACTGATATTCTCACTTTTTCATCTTATTTGATAATATCATATAATAATTATATCGTTCCATTTGAATTTTTCAAAAAGAACCTGCAAAGTTTATGTTAATGTCACATCGCGCCCTCTACCACTCATCACATTTACTAAAAAGACTCTATCCATGTAAAATCTGATTCCAGGAAGAGAGCTCTTTCCAACAAGATGTGAAAATCTGTTAACCTAAATCGAAGTTACATTAAATTCCTTAGAGAGATGTTCCCCTTCCCACACCCCTCATATTTTATGAGCTAGAGCAATATGTGCTGCATCAAAATGATGCAAAATTGATACAAGATGGCTATGCATGTATGTTTTATGCAGGTTTGTTGGGTATATTTTAGAAAAAAAATTTTCTACTTAACCATGAATCGTGCGCCTTCTACCGGCGAAGCTAGAAACTAACTTCCAGTGATTTTTCTTGACCCTTTTCGTTAACAACATTTTTTTCCCGAAGCTGTGCAATTAACGGTTCCATAGATATGGCCTGTAACCATTATTAAGGACACCCCGTACAAACTATAACTTTCTCCCGTTAGTCCTTCTTTAAATGAGAAGGTGACGGGGTGAGGGGGTGGGGGTTAGAAATGTATTTTATCTTTCATGGTATTCTAATGAAGGGTCTTAACGAAAGGAATTAATTTCTACCAACCACACTCCTCCTCGACACTTATCATGATGGGTTCTAATTCCTCATATTTCTAGAGCGAAGTGTCGGAAGAGGATGCTCACAAAGAGCGATTGAGAGGTTTAGAAGAAATACATCCATTGCGAATAATTCCAAAATGGAGTGTTCTTATTGTTAATTTTATTTAAATTATTGTTCATATTATTTGCATATTTATAAATCTGTAAATTGTTT